CCTCTTCAGAAGGGCCCAACCCCGAGCGCTGGGGGTGAGAGCGCGCGCCCCGCTCGGGACACCCTGCCGGGACCGTCCTCCTCGAGGTGGCTCTGCAAGAGCCCCGGCCAACGGGCAGTACCTGGGGCCAAGTCCCTCTCTTAGCACAGCGAGGCCAGGCGCAGGTTCCTTTCCCGGCACCGCTGGGGTGATGGCCGCGGCAGCATGCGGCGCTTCAGACCCCGCGGAGCCTCGTCCCCTCTGTCCCTCGCAGGCCCTCCACATCGTCGCCGGAATCATTCGCTTCTGCTGCGGGATTTTCCTGACCATGGCAGAGCACCACATTCCGCTCTCCGCTGTGGCCAGAGGGCTCCTCTTCTGGCTGGGGGTCCTGGTAAGCAGGGACACACGGGGGCTCCAACTCCCTGCCACCAAACAAGGATGGGGGGGTCTCGCCAGGGCTAAGTCCCTCGTTACCAGGGTCTCCTTTTAAGTCCCCATCTTCTGTCTGACTCCTGAGGCTGCAGGGGTTCAGGATCGCAGACCCAGACATTCCTGGTGACTCCAGGGGCTGTGGGACACGTGTGACACGCAACAGGTAGCAGAGGGGATCCTACTGCTGACTCTGCCCTCTCTGTTTCTGGAGCAGCTCCTGGTCACGGGGTCTCTGTTGGTGGAAAGTGGAAAAAGAGAGAACATCCTGCTGGTAAGAGGGCTGCCATGGCCAGGCAGGGGCAGGAACACGGAGCTCATGGTGGATTGTGGCTTTTTCCCCTGCCGGGGGCTCCCCTCCATGGCCTGCCTTCATCCCGTGTTTCTTCGGGGCCTGGAGGGAAGCCCATAAGACCAGGCTTGCCCTACGGAGGTGCCTGGTTCTCTGCCTGTCAACCACTTAGGGTGCCCAACACTTGCAGCATCAGGCCCTCAGTGAAACACTTAGAACGCAGTGAAGCCACTTGTGGATGACAAGGAAAAATAATAATGTCACCTGGGCCAGCTTCCCCTCTGTGGCTTCTCCAGGAGGCCAAATGCCTCCACCATGACCTCCAATGAGGCCCAGCCCTGCTGTAAGGAGCTTCACCGGCTCCATGGGGCTGCCCCGCTCTGGAGCAAACACACACAAGCTTGCCCAGATGGGCCCCTGCGCTCCGGGAGCTCGGACAAAACGCGTCCCCAGCTCCGTGTCACCGTTTCGCTGCTTCCGAGCTCCCTGCGAGCAGGTCGTGCTCCGCGCTCCGCGGCGGGGAGGCAGCGCTGCTGACGCCAGCGCCGCCGCAGGTGAAGACCTGCTGCCTCTTCTGCCTCGGGGGCGCT